AAACTCCGGAAATCCATTGGGGCAACTAACTCTCTACGGAGACATATTTTGCAGCAGAAGATGCGGCATTGAATCCCCAGAACGGCTTAACAGACCGCCGATGTGAGGTATGTTTACCCTCTACCTCCAACCGAGAACGCAGTGATACTGATGCCTCCACCCCCTTGCTATGGGCCAAATTTCAAAAGCTCGAAGGAGAAGTTTACCCAGGCGCGAGGAAGCCTGAGTAAAGTGACGGGTTGTCGGATATGTTCTGTATATTTCAGCAGGATGGTGCAAAGATACATACTGCAAAGGATACTATGGCTTGGTTTGAGGAAAACAATCTACAAGTTATGGAATGGCCACCCAATTCCCCTGATCTCAATCCTATTGAGCACTGTTGGAAGAGGGTAAAGGAAAAGCTACACCAGCGCTTTCCTGACATTCATAAGACTAAGGGTGGTCCAGAAACTGTTAGAAGACATTTAGCAGAAGCTCTTAATGAGGTTTGGACTCATGATATAGAGGGGAATTTTTTTGGAAAGGCTGTGGGAATCTATGCCTAGGAGAGTGGCTGCTGTTTTAGATGCAAAGGGATGGTACACAAAGTATTGATTTTTTTATTCTATAATTTCAGAGTTTTTACAGTAGTGCATGATATCTGCTAGTACTGATAACCCTACATCTACCTCCCGGAGGGACAAGTGCTTAACTAATTCCCATCTCTGTCCTTTTCACTTTCTGCTTTCCCTTCATAAGATGATAGTTATTATTTCTATCTGTTTGCGCTACCCACTATATCACACCACCTACTTCTAGGATTTCCCTAGGGTCCACTGTCAACGGTTTGGACTTGTATTACATTGTGCCCTATCCAAAACAAGTGGGCATGATGGAGAAAATACAATAAAAGGAATTAGATCAAAACGAGAGCAGAGGCGATAACTAGCCCCAAGGGGGGGAGGAAAATTAATTTCGCCTAGGCTCGAAAGGGGACCGCTGGTGTGTCAGACTGGTGCGCTTTCCGTTGGAAGGGAACGTGGGTTCCTGGAGTCGTGCAAAGCATGATAAGTTGAGAGGTTCAATGGGTTCTTACTTTTACGCCTCAGCCCCCCTCCCCACAAAATGTCCCCAAGTTAGGATTTCGGGGGAGAAGTCAATTTTTTATCTTCGATACGACAAGTGTGGCGCCCAACCAATGACTGACTCATAAATTCCCTAATTAGGTTATGGGGGGGATTTGATCAATTTTTGGAGGGTTTCGTGATGTAGAACCGTGTCCTCACCTAATTGACATCAACATGCCGAGGGGCCCGCCGTTGGTACCGGGTGTTCGAAATCACCGGCGATAATTCTGTGTGTCCTCGTCTCTCCGTGTGTGGAAGAATTCTTTTCTTACTTATTTTTCTATTTGTCACTCCTTTGTCAGTTTACTCTTCTCTTCTAGTCACGGATTACTCATCGGGCGAGGGAAATGAATATACCTTGCATGCACACTATGCAATGTCGGGAATTTTTCGAGTCAAGGCAGCAGAATTATAGGTGCTCGGTATGATCGAAGGTGCCGGAACTCTGAAGATATCAGGAGGACTCTGCAGAGGCATTACCGTAAGAGCGAACAGCGTTTGTCATTTCTGCTCGCTGCAGTGGCCTGAGCACTGAGTTGGGAGGAGTCTGAATTTTCTATATAAAGGCACTTAGTTTTCCTGTAGATAGAAAGGATAAGCAGCCAGGATGCTAAGTTCCAAGTATCTAAACTATTATCTCCTCATCTTCGCTTTTTCCATTCCTGCGTTCTAGTTTCCCCATCGGCATCTCATAACGCCGGGCTGAGGTCAGGGCGGCTTAGGTTAATGTTTCTGGCGTTGTGGAAGGGATTCACGGGGTTTATGATACAACCATGCACTTGATCAACTAACAGAGAGCACGTTGCCAAACTTTATCTATCCTCGTGGGTGCCAATCCTTTATCTATACTGGCACAAGTATGATAGTACGATAATTCAGTAAAATGCTGTCTCTAGCCCGCATCCCCTTTCAACCGACCGCTCCTATTGAAATAACCTAGAATGCAATATGGCCATTCCTACCCTGGTTAGGCACCCCGAAGAATATCACCCGAAGCCCCCCACCTTACGGCCGATAACCCCGAACTCTTTCGCTGCAACCTCGAACAAATTTTCATTACCCACCACATCGGCCTTTACTCGCCTCTAATCTACCCGCCCCTTGATGCGTTTCTCCGCTAAGCCCTTGTAATCAGCCATAATGTCATCGGAGGGTGGTGGGGGCCCAGGTGGCCACGGAAGCCCAACTGCGACCAACCCACCAAGTTTCGGTATCTTAATGCAAAGGCCGAAAATGCAATGGAGATAACCGTTAGTGCGCTAGCGGATGCCTGTCGAGAAGCTGCAGGTTGGCTTTACCAGTGAAGGCTTAGGACGGCCCCACCTTCTGTTGTGCCGCGGTTATACAGAAACTAGGCCTTATGTGGGGATTTGTTTGCTTGACCATGGGCTTGTGTACTGAGAAAGGGGTATGGTAGTATGTGCTCATGCGTTCATGCGCTCCCACCTACGGTTAGAAGGGAAATGACCACAATGGTAGCTGAAAGCTTGAAGCGCATTGTTGCCGATAATTGTGGGAGGTATCGCACCTATATATTCTTCTGGTCTTGGGAAGATGCTTTCAAATTTTGCGAACTTGAGCTGTAGATTAAATACCCAGGAGGAATCAAGCCTTTCTCAGCCGAAGGGGGAACAAAGGATAAAATCAAAAAAATGGTTTTACGAGGTGCTATATAGGCGTGGTTCGACGGTGGAATTTACTCATGAAGCGGGATTCCGTTGACACGTGTAAGGCGGTGGTATGGAGTGTCTTCCCACTCTAGCAATTGGCACTCCCTGGCAGCGGAGGAATAAGCGAGTGATATCTTGTGCAACCTGAACTCTAGGTATAAAACGTGCTTCGCCCATTTTTAACTCCATGTCGCAAATAGCTTAAAGTTACGGTAGCGCTAGTCGGTTAATGTTTGGCCAATCAGGGGTGGAAGCACTCTTGGTCACCCAAGCGAGTAGTAAAGTTCCCCGCATATGACAAGATCGAGAGGCACAGGGCAGAAGCACGACCGTACACCGTTGCACAAAGCCTGTACTCAGATCGGACATCATTGCCTAGTCTGGCTTTACTCTTGGCCTTTCGCGAAGTGCCGGCACTGTTGTATAATACCCTTGAACTAGGCATACATTCTGTCGCGAACCTTTGGTTTTCTCGGATGGGTTCCTAAGCTGGGAAATATTCGAACAGCTGGACAGTTCACCCTGGCGGGAGACTACCGCCGACATGGTACGTGGAGAGCTGGGAAGCCGTCGTTAGGACGGCTAAAGGCGTAGGGATAGTGTGGTAGTTGACAATCCGATAACGGGTTTTGCGAATTCTCGCCGCTGGGTATAGCCTTTCAATAGTTGATGGCTTATGTCCTTGTGAACGTCTGGGCAGTAGTACAGTACAAGGAAGCCAGCTGTTTATCAGGCCATCTGTCCCAGTAAGACCCGTGGGCAAGCTCGTACCCCAAACTCGGTATTAAAGTTCAGGCTTGCTCCCGTCAACTCTCATATCCACCGATATATCTAGATCTCTGATGCAGACTGAGGGCTAAGTATAAACATGACATTTTGCTAGTACGGATTGTAGTACCGGCCCCTAACATGGCCGCTGCGAGTGATCATGAGATATTATTCAAGAAGGATCTTTCGTGAGAAAAAACCCTCCGGAGAGTGATCTATCCTCTCTTCAAATTAGTCGGAGTCTATTGGCTTTTAAAAATTACTGTAGATAGTAGGTAACTTATACACCTCCTGCTTGGAAATTTTTTTTAATCCATCCCAAGAGCCTACTTAGCTCTCTGCAACTCACAAGCTATACTTGAAGGGAATATTCGTTGCGTGCCGTACATCCAATTGCCCGAGCCGGGGGGGTTTAGTAAAAAATTTCACGGGGGTTATTCGTGATGGCCAGAGCCTCAAACTCAACGGCTCGGTGCCTCCGTAGCCGGCCGTTGAAGTTTTTTAAACTAGTCAGAACCTTAGTGCTCAGGCAGTTAGCCTTAAGCAAGCAGCAGGTACTAAGTAGACACCTCTCCCGTTGGACGATATAAACCTTGCCATCCATAGTGATAAAGCATCTCCTCGGGCTAAGGAGAATGACACCCGGTAGGAGTACATCCTGCTCGTCTAGACTTTCCCCCGCCATCAATAGGCTAGGATGGTTCTACTCTTTCATACGTAGACATAGGTAAATGGGTCGATCGTTCGTCAAAAAAATATTTCTCTAGGCTCCAACACAACCTCTTTGAAGGTACTATACTTGTTGCCAGAATTGGTCATGGGAGAATGTTTATATCATATCCTTAACATCCCTCAGATTCCGTGCAGACATCAAACTTTAATCCTATTTTTTTTATTTTGTTCTCTTTTCCTCTTTTAAGACCTGCATGCCAGCTAAGCCGGACATATGCACACCCCAGACGTGCACACCTTAAATTTAGAGCACTCTTTTGGTTTTTATTGCAACACCAGAAAGCGAACACTAGCATGCGTTCAACAACACGATCATTACTTCCAAATGGCTACGATAACAAACCCCAGTGCACACATCCGAGAATTTACCGAAAAACACCGCGAGAGAGATATCCTCAGAGACAATCATGCAAACGAGACCTTCCTCGGGATAGAAAGGCCAGATAAGCACTGCTGGATGTATTTCGAGATATGGCTACACACGCTCAAGTCATGTTGTTGAGTGAGACTAGGTTGGGCTCAAGGGAATACTGGGTGGTTATTGACATATATTTTTTCATGTATATATAGCTGGGTTCCTTCCAACTCTTTTTCCTAGAGAACGATACCACGGTCACACATCAACCTCACCTCTTCCGACACATCTCTGCAAGCCCTTTGAAACAGCCATCTTTCTAGCGTTCCCGTCCTCTACTACCATAAATTATTCTAAGCTTAGATCATGAGACACCTCTTCTCCCTCGTCGCAACACTTGTACCTTTTATTACTAGGATCACTGCAGCCCCATTAGACGGTCTTGCGCAGCGTTTTGTAGATGAGAAAATTCCCAACGCCTGGATTGTGCAGCTCAAGGGGGAACCTAGCTCCCAAAACCTTGATGAACACCTCTCCTGGCTAAGTTCAGTCACCCAAGAGGTCACCGGTTTTGCCGGGGCAGAACGAAAGTACAACTTTGCCGGGTTCGTGGGATATAGCGGGAAGTTCGACGATAGCACGGTTCAACAGATACGCGCAAGGCCGGAAGTGAGTCAACGGCTCCGCTGTTAATGTGAAGATAGTTGACCTAAAACTCCTTTCTAGGTGGCCCTTGTCGAGCAGGACGGTGTCGTCAACGCCGATAGAACATGTGTTAACCAAACATTGCCCATGCCGGGTTTGTGGGGCCTGGGTAGAATATCTTTCCGCCCTGGGGGTAGCAAAGGGGTGTATGTGTATAATGACACCTCCCCATACTGCAACAGCCGCACCGGTCCACCCACCGCATATGTCATAGACTCAGGCGTATTCACCAAGCACAAAGACTTTGGCCGCAGAGCAACCCATCTGTGGAAGGCAGAATCATCCTGGAGTCCGGAAGATAAATGCGGTCACGGCACTCACGTCGCCGGCACAATTATAGGAAAGACTTATGGTGTCGCCAAGCATGCCATTGTTTTTTCCGTCAAGGTTTTGGAAGGCACCCATCATGGTTTTTGTTCCGGAAGCTGGGCTGGAGTCATTGCCGGGATTGACTATGCATATAAACACGCATACGAGGCCGGAAAGGTCCCCCTATCTGTTATAAACTTGTCACTTGGTAAGTTCGGCTCCCTTCTAGGAAGATAGCGACAGAATTGTGATCTATTAACGCTTGGCTAGGTGGTGGTTTCAATGCTGCCACCAACAATGCGGTACAAAAAGCGGTTGCGGGAGGCCTGACAGTTGTGGTATCAGCTGGCAACGCGGGTGTATGTCTCCAGAAACCCGCAAAGCTTCTTTGTTTCGCTTCTCAAATTGACATTCCTGTAGGAAAATGCGTGCAACTTTAGTCCCGCTTCGGCGCCAGATGCAATCACAGTGGCAGCATCCGATATCAATGATGAATTAGGCCCTTTCAGCAATTATGGATGTTGTGTGGATATTCACGCTCCTGGAGTTGAAGTGTTGTCAACCTGGATCGCGAATGAAACAGCAACCACCACATTCAGTGGGACTAGTATGGCGGCCCCACATATTTCTGGTTTGATACTGTATAGAAAATGCTTAACAGCTACATCACGAACGCCGAGATCGGATAAGAGGGAGCTTGTCAAGCAAAGTGTTCTAGGGGTTATCAAGGGCAAACTCTGTGCCCAGGGCAGCTCTCAAAAGTGCTGTTCACCAAATCTTCTAGCTAACAATGGCGGATGCACGTAACTCACGAACAGAGGAAAGGTGGAAAAGGTGGATTCCGGTTGAGGTAGTGGGGTGGACATTTTTTCCTCTCATGAATTTTGTTCCTAAAACCATATAAATCTTGATCCGGACTTCCTGTCATTTGCTCCTACGCTCAAGATAGTACCGAATGTGAAAGTCCATATAGTGTAGTATACTGCCGGGAGGTAGCATTCACCTCGCCCAGCTGCTTACTACCTTTCTCAGGGAATTTACTCAAAAGTACAGCGACCTCCATACAACCTAGTTCCCACGTGGAACATTCAAACCCTTGATGCTTAACTACGTAGAATTGGGCAGTTCCAATCACTCTTCTAGTCACTGGCTTTAACGTAAACCATAGTTGCCCTAAATTATTTATTCAGAGAACGGTGATACTATCATATCCCTCATACAAGTGACCTTGTTGCAGCAGTCCACACTGCAAAGGGGTACTATTCGAATCGGCTGAGGCGAGCCTCTCCTTAGCCATGAGTACCTACTTCCCGTATGTATGCAACAGGAGTGAGTCACAACTCACTACTCGCAATCGGGGTATTTGCAAGCAGGGAAGAATCGAATGGGGGGCTGCACAGCCCGTGGCATAGAATATTCTTCCACTACATGATGATCGCGTGTACTAATCTAGAGTTTCTTCCAGAACCTGTGATAATATATTAGAACTCAAAATCTGACTTGTGTTACTGGTTTATGCCGGTCCCTTGTATGAGGAGCGCCCGGCCACACGCTATCCCGGGATACAGGAGTACTCAGAGAAACAGCACAGCAAAGCCTACAATAAATTTCTGGAATTAAGAAACACGTAGTTTTTGGCGGAGCATAGCTTTTTTGCATTTAGTAAATAACCACGGCATAACATTTACTATATTTCAACTTGTACCCCTCCTCCATTTCCACCGCTAAAAACACTTGGGATCCCTACACCCCCCAACGAGCGGTCTTTGTTAAACAGTAACTTAGTCGTTTAAGTTTATCCTCGGAAAATTTCCCTCATAATACCATTCGCGTCCGGTGACGGCCGCGGGCTCCCGGATCGAATTTTAGTTTCGGCCAGCCACCTACAACTGCACTATGTATGGATATCGCGCTTCCCGGAGTTATTCTTTTGTTAGCTACTGAAACTCTGTGGGCAATTTTATCTCTTACCTATCTCAACCAAGCGCACTTGAATTAATCCCCTTGGGCCTGCAGGGGTTGGGTTAGGGGGGCTGGGTCCCGAGTGACATTCTGTGAAGCTAGAAACCTGTTTGGTAAACTCAGTTAAGAGCACCATCGCTTCCGTAGATTTTCCTGATATGGTAGCCCCGGCGGCGCATATTATGCTAGTGCCATTGCTGACACGACACTCTTCTCCCCTCAGCACAGTTTTTATCAACTGTTCGCTCCAAGGATTTCTTACGTATCTTATCCTACACTACTTTCCACGCTGCCTCTAGCGGGTGCCCCAAGACTGGTTCCCGAGCAGAGGACTCAAGTTAACCCTTGCGTTTGACTCGAGAGTATCCCTATTTTTGGCGCAGAAGTTTTCCCTCTTATACTCCCCGTGCCCTAAGTTTTAACTTTATTCGTAATGCTTCCAATATAAAGTATAACTTATGCCAATTTTGGCCCTTTCGGGTGCTGGTTTAGGTGGTGGATTTTGTACAGGGAACCCTGGGGGACTGGTACTCTGCTCGGCTTTGGCTACGTGAAAAAAGGGTTCACATACCTTCCACTTTTACTACCTGTGGAACCAATCTTGGGGGTCTCTGCTATCATCCAGATATTATAAAAACAAAAGCCAGGTCTGGGATCAAAGTTGGCACAGCAGAGATATTGGGGATTTTATGATATAACCGCTAACACCATTCTTGCCTCTCATGCACCTGGCACCGCCTGGATTGGACTACCAATTGGTTGATGGATCTTTTTTGATTTTATGGTCCGGGCTCGGTACGCTGGTCCTGAATTTTGATCTGTGTGAACATGATACTCTCTACTCACAGGTGTATCTGTAGGCACCTCTTTTAACAAAACATAGCCATTTTTTGTTGCAGCGTTTGCGTCTCTTGTCACTTGCCTAGCTCCTTTGGCATGGACCAATAAAACAAACAAGTACCTTACTTCAATATTTTGGAAGACAACTCAATTCCTAGTGGTTAAAAGGGGTTTGCTCAGAAGTGAGAATAAGTGTCACAGGCAATGATGAATACTTCTTCCAACATTTTATTGTTGGTGTGTTGTTTCTTTTATTTTAGTTTTCTAGCTCTTTTATTTACAACCAAGATGAGTCAAAAGCCATGACAATTGGAACATTGAGGGGATTTACTTTCAGATGTTTGCAAATAACATAAAGCCATTTTGTTCTTACTGAAAGATCACTTTACATTTTCCTCAGCTCCACTAGTCAAACTCGAGGCTTTTTTGGGGGTGACATACAAAGGTACAGCCCTTAAGTTTTGTACTTTTTGCTAGCAGAGGGCATTCAGCTAGCAAGGATTAGGAGAGTGAATAGGGAAAGGTCGCTTGTAGCTAGTGGTCAGTGCTTGCCATGGACTTTTTACCTTTTTTTTATTTTTTATTTTTTTGCTGGGCTGCTACCCCCACCCCCCCAGCCCCTCCCCCCTTTTTTCTTTTTCTCTTTCCCCAACTTCTCCTTCAAAACTTTCAATTCAGTACCATCAGTCTCCTCCACTATTCTTTACATACTCAGGCCTTCTCACCCAAGCAACCATACATTTTCATCCTTTACAAGCTCCTCATGTTCTGAGTCTCTCAAGCCGTACCATGAGCAACTTAAATCCAAGAAAGGCACCAGTTGTAGATCCAGGAGATTTCTATCTTCCTTGGCCTTCAGCAATATCTACCTTGCGACCAGCAAACCTCATAAATGAAATGTCAACATTAGAAGACACAAATGACCTGGAGAATACAGGAGACAATGATTTCAGCTTCTCCTCCCTCTCTGATGATGACTTTCAAGATCCTCAACCAGAAGATTCCATCTCCAATGTTGGCCGCAGTGACCTTACTACTGGTAGCTGCTTTCCTTCAAGTATGTTCTCTATTGAATTACAATTATCCATCCAAGTCCTCTAGAACCTGTTTGATTTCCAAGCTATCAAGGCATCTACTTTTGTAAATAATAAACTAAATATTTAGAAGAAGTTAATGCAGGTCCAGACGAACTTGAAGGCAGCTTGGGTGGAGTAGTCAGTATAACTGAAAACCCACCATTGATGAATTCCTTCCTACAACTCAAGTCTAAAGTTCGGAAAAGTCATATCTATGAAAAAGAAAATGGAGAAACAATTATGGTGAATGGAAAGCCTCGATGGCAGTGCAACCGCTGTACAAACCGCTCAACTCCGACTACATTTGCAGTATCCTCGACTAGAAATGCTATCGATCACCTCCAGCGGTACTATCAAATTGACCCCGAAGGTCAACTAATCCCTATTGCACAAAAGCAGCAACAATCTATCAAGGCTGCCTTTGGAAATACAAAACCAAAGATTGAATTTAATGCGGATGTATTCCGCAGTATGCTGATTCACTGGATCACAGCAGCCAGTGTGCCATTCTCAGTCTGCAATCATCCGGAATTTCGTATGCTCTTAGCCTATCTGGGCTCCTGTCAACCAAATCTGAAAGCAATAATACCTGTGATTCCCAAGTCTGGTCATACCCTGTGCCGCTGGTTAGATGACTTCCCTGGAACAATGTTCAGTATAGTAAAGAAGTCACTGCAGAGTACTATTTGTCGAATCCACTTCAGCTTTAATCTTTGGAGTAGTACAAATCAGCGTTCATATATGGCAATTGTTGGTCATTGGGTAGATCAAGACTATAAGTTGCATGCAGTACTATTGGATCTACATCGGTTTATTAGTCACCACAATGGCCAGAATCAGGCATCTTACTTTTGGCAGACAGTTAAGAGATATGGAGTTGAGAGAAAGATTGGCAAGTTTAATCTGGATAATGCACGAAACAACAATACTGCATTACAAGAGATTGCAGGGTCCATGAAGAGGGAAGATATTACTCCTATCGATCCGGTGGAAGATAGACTCCGGTGCTTTGGCCATGTGATTAACCTGGTCATGAAAGGATTTCTATGGGGTAAGGATAGAACATCAATGAATAGTGAAGGAGATGATAGCAATCTTTCTGCAGAGGATGAGCTTGCACAGCTGAAGGAGTGGCGACAAAAGGGTCCAATCAGTAAACTACGAAATATTATAAAGTACATTCGACGCACCCCACAACGTTTAGACCAATTCACAGCTGTTCTTCAATAAACCGATCCAGAGGAAGCAATTGTTTTACCTATCCTGGGAAATCTTACAAGATGGTCTAGTGACTATGAGTCCCTGAAGCGTGCTTTGTGTATCAATACTGCAATTACAAGCTTCATTGCAATGGCAATCAGCGCAAATAGGAATGGTGAAAGAGCAACAAATGAAGGAGCCCTCATTAATGATAATCTATCTGATAATGACTGGATGACCTTGGCTCAAATTATGGAGATATTGGAACCATTTGCAGAATGGAGCAAGAGGTTACAGATTAAATACAGTAATGGCTGCATAGCGAGTATCTTGTCAGTTATGGATGAGCTAATGGAGGTACTGGAAAATGCGAGAAATTCACACCAATACCGGACACGACACATTACCACGATGATTTCAAATGGGTTACGAATTCTGCAGAGATATTATCGCAAGATTGAGGTTTGTCCTGTGTATGTGGTAGCAGTCGCACTAAACCCAGGAATGAAGCTGGAATATTTTGATATCCAGTGGGATGGACGGCAAGATGCAATTAATCGTGTCAAGAATACCTTAAATGATATGTGGACATATACCTATAAAGGGAAATATCTAGCAGCAGCAATAGTGACTACTGGAATATCGCGAGAAGATAAAATTGATTGTCACAATCGGACTTCTTGAAAATCTGGCAATTCTTTTCAAACCAGCTTTCGGCGTAGGCGCCAG